ATGGAGATTTGGATTGCGAGAATAAGGACAATTTTTTAAATTTGGACCACTTTTATTGTCGATATTCCCACAATACAAATCTCCATTTAACTTGAAGGAGGCAAACTCTACATAATGATACAAACAATATTTCTTTACTACGCGGGTTTTGGGAGGGAATTCAGCAAAATTTTAAATAAATTCAAGATATATTCGATTGTGGCAATGTTTGACAGGTCATTACACAAATAATGGTAGTGTATTTCGAAAAATTAATTCATAGTCTGCAAAAAATCTGTGAAAGTAGCATTTTGGATCACTTTGTCAAAACCCACTCTGTTTTAAATTCCAGCTTGGAGAGACTGTAAATGTTCCCATTGTAAAAAAATATATCAATGTCCAATGAAGAAATTTGATTATACCATAGCAACGCAATATTTCCACAATACAAATAAATGAAAGAACTATGTAGTAAAAATAAGGAAATTATTCATAACTTGACAACGCCGCAACCGATTTCGATTTTCTATTCAGCGATGAAAAGGCAAAAGATTGAATAAATTTGTGAATAAAAATACAGGGTCTTCCATTTGAAAGATTCAAATGAATGTCATCTGCATATTGCAAAATTTTAAATTCAAAATTGAGCACCCTGTTAAAGAACATGTCGCAGAATTACTGAATTGGTATACGTTAGACCTTGCTACTACCGTATGCCAAAAATATTTTCAAAATTTGAATAAATGAATAAACTATGCCCATTTCAACATGACTCTTCAATAGTGGTAAACATAGATTTATTAATTATAATTTGGCAACGCCGCAAACGGTTTCAATTTTTTTACAGCGATGTGAAAGTAAACCTTGGTGGAATAAATTCCAAATAAGCAATACTGGGCTTTCCATTTAAAAAAACTCGTCTCCAAGTCGTCCCGCTTTTATAAAACACCCAGTAATGTTGAAAATATTTTTGAAATAAGCAACTTTAGCAACTGAAAAGTTTTTCCTCCAAAGTTTTTCTCTATAGGTTATGGCTTCCAAGATATGGAAGGATTATGCAGAGACAAATTTTGTTATCGGAAGAAAGAGACTCCAAATGATGAAGGCCTCATTGAACTCTACAGTTATTATAATTGACTTGTTAAAAAGAATACTAAAAAGGCCAATGAACATCATTACAAAAACCAATTATCAAATTCGTCTCCAAAATCAATGTGGAGAAGTAAAATGTTCTGAAAAAAAAAAAAAAAAATTTTTATTATAGCAAATTTTTTTCAACAATATAAACATGTATCACACGATTTTCTTATAAGAATGTGCGTGTGCTACGTTTAATAATTATTAGAAACTGATTTTTACTATTTTACTTTTATCAACTACACTTATGATAATGAAAATTATAACAGTTTACAATAGAGGTCAAAAAAATAGTAACAATGTAATTATGAAATCTAATGCAATGCAATGCATACAATACTAACCTAACAGACCTAATCAGTAGGAAATTTTATTATCTAGCAACCAGAAGACTATTTTTTTTTGTTATACTTGTAAGGACGATTTTTAAATTGTGAGGGTATGATATTGAATATTTTTGGCGCAATATAATGAAGTGATCTTTGTATTGATGTAAAGGATGTGTTAGGAATTGTGACGTATTTCAGGCTTATAGCTCTTGTAGTAATAGGATGCGAAATTTTTTGCATAATATACTTATTATTAAGTATTACTCTACAAACATTTTTTATGTGTAACTGTTCAAGATTCAGAACTCTAGCCTCTTCAAACACTTGCTCTGTGGAGAATCTTCTGTTTTTAAATAGTATGATTTTTAGGATTCTTTTCTGGGCTATTATTAGTGGGGACAGAACGTTTTCACAGGCTGAGCCCCATGCAACAATACCATAATTTAGAACCGACTCTGCTAAGGCCCTGTATACATTTATTACGTTTTTCTTTGGCAACCAATCCCTAATTTGATAAAATTTGTAATACATTTTTCTTAATTTCGTTGTTACATACTCGACGTGATACTGCCACTTCATGTGTGAATCAAAGATCAATCCTAGATATTTAGTTTTAGGTACTAATGAGATTTTGTGAGTGCAATTGCATTTATAAAAGTCCTGGCAGTTAGTGGTGTGAATCTTTATTGTGCTATTACAAGGATAGGTTCTCTTATTTAAGGTAAAACACATGAAGTTAGACTTGTCCACATTAAGCGTCAGTAAGTTAGTATCAAGCCATGTTTTAACTTTACTCATTGCTACTTCAGCTTTTTTATATACAAGATCCCATGTGGTATCATGAAGCATTATAACTGTGTCATCTGCGTAACAGACTATATCTCCTCCACATTTCATTTGGATTATTTATATAGATGGTGAATAAGACTGGACCTAGCACTGTGCCCTGTGGCACACCACATTCTACCAGACAGCACTCACTTATTGAATCTCCAACTTTGACCTGCTGAGATCGCTGATTGAGATAGGATTTAAACAAGTCCAAAGCAATACCTCTAATACCCAAATTGTACATACTGTCTAGTAAAATGCTGTGCGACACAGTGTCAAAGGCCTTTGCTAAGTCCAGGAATATTAATAAGCATTTTCTACCATTATTAAGATTTTTTGATATGAAGTCTATTACCCTGACGATAGCATCTTCAGTTCCAAGCCCTTGCCTAAATCCATACTGGTGACTTGATAATAGTTCATGATTTTCCAAATAGGAGACAAGTCTTAACTTGATGCATTTTTCAATGATTTTGCTGACATTGCTGGTAATGGCTATTGGTCTATAATTACTGATTTCTTTTTTGGAACCTCCTTTATGGAGTGGTGTGATCACTGAGTTTTTAAGAATATTAGGATATACACCATTTTTAAGAATCAAGTTTACTATGTGTAGTAGAGGTTTTAATAAGGCTTCATGTGAGTGTTTCAGAAAACATACACTGATACCATCGTTTCCTGTGCTATTATTATTGTTGAGGGAGTTAACTACTTCAATCATTTCAGCTCTTTTGATAGGAGATAGAAAGAATGACCCAGCATTTTTAGGGGTATTTATACTGAAGTTTACATTATTAGATTTGGGTATTTTTATTTTACTTGCTAACTTTTTGCCAATTTTGGAAAAGAAATTATTAAATTCATTTGCTATATCCAATTCTTCAGATATCTCTTTATTATTCTCATCTAAGATGTTTTTAATATTATGTTTTGTGTCAACATTGTTGCATGAAGACCTTATTAAACTCCATGTTTTCTTGGAATCATTTTTATTAGCTTCAAATTGATCTTTATAGTAATCGGCTTTGGCTTTATTTGATAACAAAACAGATATTTTTAACATTGGGATTGATTGGGTATATCAAAGAATATGGCAAAATAGTAGCTGATCCATTAGATGTATGTGAAAAAATGAACCAATATTTCGTTAACATAAGACCAGGTTTATCTGAAGTTATTCCCCACACTGATTTATTCTCTTCAGAAGTTTTTGGAGAATCAAACATGAGTTCAGTGTAAACAGGAGTTCAACGTTTTTGAAACCAACTGATGTTCAGGAGCTTGAAAAAATTTTAATGAACTGAATAATGAAAAAGCACCAGGCTTTGATGGAATAAATGTTTATATTGTCATAGCAGTTAAATCAGAATTGGTGCCATTACAACATATAACAAATTCACAAAAATGGAAAAAACATTCAATGTATAATTATAGAACCATTTCTCTGCTACCAACATTATCCAAAATAATTGAAAAAGTTATGCATAAAGGATTATCTGATTATTTAACAAAAATTATATTTCTTTTATATATACTGAATGTGCAACACTGGATGTTATTACTGACTTTCAGCTGAAATTAGATTCATACAGTTAATTTTGAATTCCTATTAATGAAATTAACTGGAATAGGAATAAGAGGTGAGGTGTACTCTTGGTTTGAAAATTTTCTAGTTGATAGCAGTTTGTGTATTTTCCAACCAACCAAATCAATCCTTTGAAATTCGGGAATTTTTTTATAAATCCTACAAAAAATCTAAACTAAGGTTCAACTTAAGACCAGTCTCTATCTTGGTGAGGGCATATTCAAATGCTCAGGAGAAAAATGTCTCCCATTGTTGGTATATTATACAAATTGAGGTATTTTATACCCCTTAAATACTTGTAATTGATTTTTTTGGTTTGATATTCTCTTAATTGCAGTATCTGATATCAATCTGGGGTAATGCAGCAAAATCTGATTTTAAACCTCTGAAATCTCTTCATAATAAAGCCATAAAATGTATTTATAAACTACCACTTCTGGAATCAACATATAGACTAGACTATACAAACCAAGGGATCTGCTAAATATTGACTCTCTTCAAAATGCATTTTCATCCATTCCACTAACAATAAGAAAAATCACTTGTATCTTACTTTCAATATCAATTCTGATACCCATGAGTATCACACCAGACAAAGTGAACATTTGAAAACTGTCAAAATAAAAACCCAATTTGGGAAAAAAGTATTATATTTTTGTGGAATAAATATTTATAATGGTCTACCCAACAGAATATAACCTATCAAGTTCCTCACAAAATTCAAGTGAACTGAAGAAATATATTTTATCAATTGAATTATCTCCTTGTATCAATTAATTCTGATTGAACCCTTCATTTTATTGCATATTATATTCATTTATATATTTTTTTGTATCCCTCTAGAGACATGTATGTTTCTTGGGATCAATGAGTGGTATTCTTATCAACTCTCAAAAAACCTATAGGTATTTTAGTAACAGGACATTACAAAAAAATGGATTCCAACATCCTTTATGATTCAGCTTCATCTACAAGCCCTTCAATGTACATACTTCACTGATTCACTTTGTAATATAATCTATCAACAAACCTTATATGGTTTTTGTATTTATTGGTGCACAAAGTGACCCTACTGAATTAGGTATTTTTCCACAAATAAAATATTCATTATACATTTGTAGGAACCACACTATATTTACCTTAACACCTGCAATTTCTAACATGAACATAGCAGCACCCAATACATGACCAGCATTGTAAGCCCAGAATTTGATTCCCAAGACATCTTTTTCTTCATGAAAATTAATGGTTTCTATTTTATCCATGCTGGCTTCTAAGTCAGCTTCAGTATAAAGCATTTGTTCTGTAGCAATATTACTGAAATATTATAATTATTGCTCTATTGTTGATAATCTTGTTGACTCTCATTTACCTAACTTTGATGTAATCTGACAGTAACCATCTGTAAATAGCTTTTGTAGCATGAGTCATGAAGCATCGCCCTTTGAAACTAGTTTTTTGCAAGAACCATGGTAATGCCCCACAATGGTCTAAGTGAAAACTAAAAAGGTAAATAATTGGAGGAATCAGTGGAAAATCATTTGAGATGATATACTTACTGAGAGATTAGGAGTAAATCAATTTCATCAGCTTCAATCAGATCTACAAATGGCAATGCATCCATTCCTGATAATCCTGGATGTATTCCACAATCAAGCTAGGAAACATAAATGTTCTCAGAAGGTTTGAATTTTTTTGTAAGACTTACCATAATTTTCTTTCCTTTGAATTCTATCATTATACAAGATCTTCCAACTTCTTGACCTGCACCCCTGAAATAGTTTTTAAAATTTTTATTATCATGATATTCCAGATATGAAGCATAGAATGTTCTTCAAATTATATGTTAAATGCTCATGTGCTCCTGGAGGAATACTCACAAAGGTCGAATAACCAACTGATCACTCTCCTCTGCTGGAACTTGAGAATCTTGTTTTCGTTTGTAAGACATTTTGGGTAGCCTCAAGAATTTAAAATCAACAAGTCCTGTACATATGTCAATTCTGTTATTTTATTGAGGGCCTCGAAGGGCCGTTTTCCTGTGAAGAAATAAAAATTGCTGAATACTTAACACACTTGAGAAGAAATTGTATTATTAGGGTTAGCACCTACTATGATTAATTAAAGTCACTCACTTTAATTATTAGTTTTATTAACCATATAAAGTGGAAAATCTTACAGCATCACCATCATGTTATTAGGCGGTAAAAAGGTAGAGAGAGAGCTCTATCTGACGGCTGTCATTGGTCATTCTAAAAGCTAAGAATTGCCAACATAAAATAATAATGGCCATGTTTACAGAACCGGCTGACGGAACATCCCCCTTTTTTACAGAATCAAACAAAATCTTTCATCCAGGTCGGTTTTGTACATGAGCGTTTAGGTCGGCCTGGAGTTGGACACTTTATATCATTTTTTAAATTAACCTTGGGTGATGGAGACAAATCAGATACATCAGATGTTGAAACATTGGTATCAGGCAAGACCTGAATACTTTCAGACACCCTAAGACTAGGTTCACTGGCACTGCTGTTCACTATCATATCACTGGACACATTATTATTATTATTGTTATTACCTAGTTCTCTATGCCATGAATCATCTGCTTGGGGTACTGAATTCTCTAATGGAGGGGAGATAAAGTTTCTATAAATTTGATTGTTTGATTCATTATTATAATATGGGGCCTCTATCAAAAACCACCTATTTCGACGGAATACGCCTCTTGGTGTTTGTATAGTATATGAACGAGGCTCATCTGTTTTATCAATTACTGTTCCATACGATCTTATATCAGTAACCCAAACCGGATCATTTGGTTTCAACTCGCACATATCTTTGGCTTTATGTCTCAGATCATAATTTTCACTTTGTTTCTGTTTACTTGCTGTCCCCTTTTCTCGCATACTAGGTCTGGGATCAATAACCTGCTCTAATTTACTGGGAAGGATAGGCAAAATACCTCTAATTTTCCTGTTCATAAGCAGTTCTGCCGGACTAAAACCGCACTCTAACGGTGTTGATCTATATGATAATAGAGCCAAAGATAGGTCTTCGTTCTTCTTGATAATGTTTTTTGCAATTTTGACTGCTGCCTCTACACACCCGTTTGATTGAGGGTAGTGAGGGCTACTAGTTACATGTCTAAAATTGTATAATGAGGCAAACTTCCTAAATTCCGATTGGAATTGGGGACCATTATCTGATCTTACCACGTCAGCTATCCCATATCTCGAGAACACTTCCTTCATTTTCCCTATAATGTGACTCTCAGTCATGCTACCAAGTTTGAAAATTTCAAAAAACCGAGAATAATAGTCTGTAATAATTAGGTACCAATCTACACATTTGAAAAGATCTACTGCAATTTTCTGCCAAGGTCGAGTTGGTAACTCATCTTTGACAAAAGTCTCTTTAATGTTAACTCGTTCTTCTATACAATTAGGACATGAACGAATAAGATTTTCAATCTGTGTTGAAAGGCCTATCCACCACACAGACATCTTAGCTCTTTCACGTGACTTTGTGATACCTTGATGTCCTGAATGAATAAAGTTTATCACTTCCAATTGAAGTTTAGGAGGGATAATTATTCGAGAACTTTTAAGTAACAAATTTTCATTGAATGTTATATCATTCTTATACTGAAAATATGGGCATAATTCAACTGATAGATCTTTTTTGTCAGGCCAACCAGAAATAGAATATTCCTTTAATTTTATACAAATTGGATCCAATGACTGTTCCAATGCAATTTTTTCTAAAAAGTGATCTTTTATGGGCAAATGTTTTATTATGAGGCGCACATGAGCATCTACTTCCTCAGTTAGTTCATCGGAGGATTCCAAGGTCTGCAGAGGATTGCGAGATAATGCATCGGCCATTAAAAGATTCTTACCTGGAGTATACCGAACTGTGTAAGTATACCGCATTAGTCGAATTCGGAATCTCTGCAACCTAGGTGACAAATCATCCAAACTTTTTGTCTGTAGTATTTGAATAAGTGGTTTGTGATCAGTTTCAAGAATTATGGGAATACCAATGATATATTCTTTAAACTTTTCACAAGCCCAGGTAAGTCCTAGGGCTTCTCTTTCAATTTGGGCATACCTACGCTCCGTAGGTGTAAGGGTTCTAGATGCATAAGCAATAATTTCAAATTCATTATTATCATTGACCTGCATAAGTACAGATCCAAGACCAAATGATGAAGCATCTGCACTCACTATTACTTGTTTTTGAGGGTCAAAAAATGATAAAGTAGGGGCATTAGACAATAAATATTTAACTTTCTTCAAAGCCACTTGTTGAGGTTTTCCCCAAGAGAACATAACATCATTTTTTAAAAGATAGTTGAGAGGTTCAAGTGTATTTGATTTATCTGGAATGAAACGTGCCGCAAAATTTATCATTCCTAGGAGTTGAAGTACTTCTTTCTTATTAGTGGGCTCTGGAAAGTCTATAATGGCTTGAACACGTGATGGTTCAATAGCCACTCCAGTTCCAGATATTACATGACCTAGGAATGTTATCTGTTCCACTCCTATGTTGCACTTCTGCTTATTCAAAGTGATTCCTTCTTGACACAAGCAATTAAGAACCTTTCGAAGTATTTGATCATGCTCTTCAATACTTGGAGCATGTACAAGAATATCATCGATGTGGGTGATGACCCCTTTAATATTCTGAAGAATTTTTGAAAATTTTAAACTAAAATATTCCGGGGCACATGATATGCCGAATGGAAGTCGCTTAAACATGAAACGACCAAAAGGAGTGATAAAAGTAGTCAAGGGTTGAGATTCTTTTGATAAACGCAATTGATAGAAACCAGAATTAGCATCTAGTTTTGAAAAATATTTAGATCCTTGTAGTTGAGCTAGAGAGTATTCTACTTTAGGAATTGGAAAATATGAGCGCAAAACATTTTTATTGAGAGCTGTGTAATCACAACAAAGTCTGACTGAATCACCCTTTGGAACAACCACTATTGGGGAAACCCAAGTAGTGTGTTCTTCTACTGGTTCAATGATATTGAGTCTAATCAGCCTGTTCAATTCATTTTCCAACTTTCCCAGTAATGGAATAGGAACTACCCTGGGACTACATTGCACAAATGGTATGGGATTTTCAATCAATTTGATTGTTATTTCATCTTTAAAATTCCCTAATTCTTTGAAGATATCAGGAAATTCTGCAGCTATATTTACTTTCGAGTGATTAGTTTTTGAATTGATTGTCATGAGAGAATTATTATGAAATTTAAGTATCTCGAGAGCTAGGATACCTGGTCTTCCTAAAATAGGCATCTTCAAATTTCTGATAATAAAAACATCTGTAGGGAATGACTTATTCGTTGAGTCACTTTTCAATAAAATTGTGATTTTTCCACACACATTGAGTGGTTTTCCATCAGGACCTGATATACAATCTCTGCATGTTTCGATAGAATTTAACATAGACTCATTGAGCATGTGAAGAGGTATGCAAGTTATATCAGCTCCTGTATCTACAAGAAATGAGAGAATTTTATCATTCATCCTTAACTTAGTCATCCATTGATCATTATCATTAAACCCTACTGTACTCACAGAATGTCCTGGACATTTATTGACATTATTAGTAGAAATACCTGTGACTGTACGAGTAATACTTCCAACAAATTGTTCATTATCCACTTCTTGAGTTTGTGAGCTAGGTGTCTCACAGTCAGAATTTATATTTCTGACATTCCTAATTGGTTTAGTTTTCTGCCCTTGTTGTGTGATCTTGCAAACACGGTCCCAATGACCCTTATTTTTGCAGCTTCTACAAATTGAGTTACGAGCTGGGCAAACAGGTCGAAGGTGAGATGGTTTACTTCCACAATACTGGCATTCAGAGAAGTTCTGTGGTTTATTAGGAGCTTTATCATAGGTTTTCTTGAAGTTAGCTGACCTATGATGTATTGCTTGGACCTCAGATGAAGAAGATTCATTTCGCAGAATAGAGTTTTGCTTACTCTGTATTTCTGATTGCTTTGCAGTAAGAATTGCATCTGTCAAGGTTAGATTTGACTGACGTTGAAGTCGTTCACTAGTTTTAGTATCAGCCATTCCCACGACAATGCGATCTCTTATTAGTTGTTCCTTGAGGGTACCATATTCACAATATTCAGCAAGCGAGTGGAGTGATGTGATGAAGCTATCCACAGATTCACCTGGACGCTGAGTTCTTGAGTTAAACTTGAAGCGTTCGAAGATAACATTCCTTCTTGGAATGAAGTAATCATCGAATGATTTCAATGCTTCTTCGAATGTAGTAGGTTGCTGAGTAAACGTAAGGAGCACCTGTTCACTTTCCTCTCCCATGAGATATATCAGAATATCTATTTTCTCTTGATTCGACTTTGTCGAGAGACCTGAGACGGATATGTATCTCTCGAATCGTTTTTTCCATGCTGGCCAGTTTAACGGAGATGAGAACTTGAACTGTTCTGGAGGAGATACATTCAGAGTGAGGTTAGGAGGAGCAACAGGAGATGTATCAGGCATTTTCGCTGATTTTGGAGTCGTGATTCACGCTGCCACCATGTATTATTAGGGTTAGCACCTACTATGATTAATTAAAGTCACTCACTTTAATTATTAGTTTTATTAACCATATAAAGTGGAAAATCTTACAGCATCACCATCATGTTATTAGGCGGTAAAAAGGTAGAGAGAGAGCTCTATCTGACGGCTGTCATTGGTCATTCTAAAAGCTAAGAATTGCCAACATAAAATAATAATGGCCATGTTTACAGAACCGGCTGACGGAACAGAAATCATAAAGAAACCAAGAATGAACTAATGGAAAAGCCGAGGTGGTTCTGTCTGGGCACTGTTTTGGAGTTGGTAAATAAATAGTAAGTTTGGTTAGGATCTTCGTCTTCGTTTCTGTTGGCTTCTTCCTATGTCCTATGATAAATTTATGGTCAGCTCAGTGTTCATGATCTTAGGCTCATGCGACATGAGAGTACTTACTTCTTACTTCTTGTAACAATCAATATTCAGTAACAAGTGAAAAAACAAGAAGAAAGCAATATACAATATACCTTTAGTTTTGTTTTAGTCTTTTAGTTTTGTTTTTGTTTACCTATTTACTTTTAATACCCATATATTTTTCGAAATACAAAATAACAAATACTTAATTATCTTGATAACTTTCCTCATGTAATAATTATGATAGTGAGAGATTTGTTCTGTCTTATTACTGCCTTGGTTAGTGATTCAACCTGAGGTTCTACCTACCAGGTTCTAATTGACTATAGAACTGGAAATTAGTAAAATACCTACCCCATAATTATGAAATTTAGAGCTGTAATAACAGATACTCCTGCTATGCGGGACTTCATGAGTATAAATATGCAATTATGAAGTTAATAAATCTAAACAATATTATTTTAGATATAGCACTAAGTTTATCAAAGTTTTCCAAAGACTGCATTATGAGAATCACAACCAGAAAACTCTATTTCATAGTTTCTGAGGAAGAATCAGGTCCCAGACGTCCTTTAGTCTGGTGTGAACTACCTGTTAACTTCTACTTCAAAGAATATCATCTTGCTGGTGTTAGTGATGAATATAATGAAATATATTTGGAAGTCTCCACAGGTTAGAAACCAGCTTATCCACATATCAGAGATTATAGCATAAGAACTGCATTTTTTCTAGTTCTCTTAGCAAGATCTTTAGCCATGTTGAAACAAACAGTCAAATCTTTCAAAATAAAATTGACCAATAAGGATTCACCATGCATAACTATTGAGATGGAATTGGTAAATTATAGAATTTCAAATTCATTTGCAAAAATTTGTAGTTATTCTAATTTCAGATGGCTGGAGAAATTATAAGTAGACAAATAGTTCATGATATACCTGTTGAAGTTATTTCTAGGAAGCATTGGTCTGATTATGAGGAACCAAGATTCAATGATTTCCATGTGAGATTAATATATTTACCTATATGTAGTAATTTGATTTCTCAATAATGTGAATTACATCAACTGACAAGAGGAAGAAAAAAGTTAACTACATACAAAGTGATTCTCTAAGAGTGGGCAATTCAGAATATGAATATTTATTTAAATTTAAATGCCTTATAAAAATGTTTCTGGCTTAGGAAAAACTGGGTGTTCAAGATGATTCTATTTTAAAATTTCTTAATAACCCTTGAAGTTCATACAGCATGAAGATACTTTTTTCCAGTATCAGGTTTTCTGACAGAAATAAGAATTTGTAACTTATTCTGTGATTATTCCTAGAGGATGTTGGTGGCACTCTGTTAATTCAGTAATAAATTACATCATATCTTCTTTATCCATTGAATGATTGTTAAAATAAGTTGAAAATTTGAGAGCCCATTTTATTTTTCATAAAAAATTCCTCTTTCAAATAGTCTAGCTTTTTGCATTATTGGCTCTTGAAAATGAGATCTGTTTCACTTTCAACATTATTATTTTTCAATTATAGAGTTAGAGAAATGACACAGGAATAAATAAAGTAATCAACAATGACAATCACTATAACAACAAACATAATTTTAAATTAAATGGTGGATCAATGTTATTGAGAAATTTTAAAATGAAAGTTACCCTTGAATACCTTGTATATCCTAAACTAGCAACATTTTTATAAGGCATTTATTTATAAAAGAATGTAGAGAATATCTCTCATAGCTATCTGAAGATATATTTTCTTCATCTATATTTTTCTATTCCTATAGGTATCAATTCAAATGCCAAGCCTAAAAGCACTGAAAAACATTGTGGAAAGAATGAAAAACATGAGTCACAGTCTCACAGTTAGTGCCAATAAGTATGGAAGACTGACATTTCAAATCAAAACAAATGTTGTAACTTTATCTTCCCATTTTACTGATTTGAGTGTCCACAGCTTTGCTGGTGAGATAATTATCATATGGCAAAATGAATCATTCATAGTTTACTATATTTCAGTTGGGCAAATTTCTACTTTCAATGACTGTGAAGATGGAAATTCAGAAGTTGTTAGTTCAACTGTTGATATCAAGAAGTTTGTGATGTTCCTATCAGGTTTACAAATTAGTAATTGCAGAACTTTATGTAGCATAGTCAGTGGCAAAATGGTTAAATTATTTATGGAACAACCTGGTGCACTATCAATACAAATATTTCTGACTGAGTTATCTGTTTAGCATTTATTATTTCAATACAATATACCTACAAGAAAATGTAATTGTATTTTAATAAAAAAGAACATGAAACAATGATATTTTCTCATTTCATATATCTACAATTATCTATTTCCTGGCATTATAATAAATTAGGTACTGATAGAACTAGGTATCACATCTCAATTACAGATATTGATTGGTCCAAAATACTTTGTCTTGGGACTGCACAATGCAATAATACACACACTAGGATACATTTGGGATAAGAAAAATAACTTAACCCACCTAAATATTAACTGGGAAAAAATAGAGGTTTTCTGAACAATTATTATTTCCTCATGTGATATCTGCCTTGAGATGGATTCAACAAGCAGGTACGTACAAGTTCCATGACTGTATCAAGTGGACTCTCAAATCAAGAAATCACAGAAAATATATCATGAGGATAGCTGATAATACTAATATAATGAAAGGAATCCATGTTTTAATAAATGTCCAGAATGAAACATATTTCCCATAAAATATCATAAGAATTGCTAACTTCACCATATTCCAATTTGAAGAACCACTGTATTGCATAATATTCAGAGCAGTTGCAACATGTGAGTGGCAGTTATCACAAAATAAATTGTGCATACGACCCTTATATATTTCAGATGCCTCAGTAACACCTGCGTCCCATCCACTAAAAAAAAATAAAATCAATTGAACCATCATGAACTATTTGAAAAAATTAAAGTTACCTTATTCCACCCCTTGCTAAAGATGGTTCAAGCTGCCAAAATTTTGTAGGCCTCCCGAATCCAAAATTGTCTTCTGAGACAAAGTAAGGTCCAGCGAAATCCCTTATTACCCCAGATGATAGTGCAATACCCATATGGCCAATGATTGGAAATATCCATGTCAAAAATGGTATTGGGGTCCATACAATACAAAAGGGGTATCTGTCTCTAGAAAAATCGATATGCGTTGAGTATGTCATTGTTTCTTCTGGATCTGGCACTGGCACTTCCATTTAGCTTTTTTAGCCAGTAGTGAGCTGCAAATTATAGCATCTTTTGGTCTCGATAGAAAATACAAATTGTTCAGTTTGAGGATCAATATAATATATCAGCAGATATAAAATCAATATTATGAAGATTTTAAAAAAAATTCAAATGTGTTGTTTTAGTGGAGCACTTTGAGGTTATGTTCTGACACTGACAGATCTTCGTGATAATCCCGATACCTTGCCCGATCCTAAGTCCTTACAACAGTAGCGAGTTACAAGTCGTTAGTGCTTGTGTAACAAGAGACTAGAGCACAAACGGGGCATGGGATTCCCCCAGACCTGCCACACGGTGGACCCCAGTAGAAAGGATTAAAATTGATGCGTGTACTTGGCCAGATAGCCCAGGTAGCTAAGGCCATTCAAATCGAAAGGAAGAAGAAGAAGAAGAAGAGATATAAAATATGGTTATGTTCATTGTTTTGACAATGAACTGAATGTAAACAACAGTTTGATGATTTTGTTTTGCTAATTTGCAATTCGTTTCATATTCACCTTTCAACCGTTCAGCAGTTCTCCAATAAATGTGCAACAGTACCAGTTTACTTTCGGGTTTTATACTCAACTAGATATAAACGATGGCCTCCTCACAAGATGCTTGGTACCTATCTCTTTTAGGTTTGGCTGAACATTTTAGAACATCCAGCCCTCCTATGATAAAACTTTGCATACAATGTTTACAAGCCGTTTTTAATTTCAAACCACCTCAGCGAGTAGAAGCTAGAACACATCTGCAACTGGGAAATATTCTTCTAACTCATACAAAGAATATTGATTTGGCAAAGAATCATTTAGAGCAAGCAGTAAAGAAGCATTGGTAGATGTATTCACAAACTGTAATAATCTATTGAATGATTTTAGTGGCTGCTGTCTCAAGTGATAAACTCCTTTGATGATGTCAAATTTGAAGCAGCTAGTGTTTTAGCTGAATTGTATGAACAGCAAGAGCAAATTTGTCTTTCTAAACCTATATTAAGGAAAGCAATAGAGTTATCACAGCATAATGTTTACTGGCATTGTAGGCTCATTTTCCAGCTGGCTGTATGTATATTTAAAAAAAAACCATCTCAGTTTCAACAAACATTTCTTTCAGCAAATTCATGCTACTGAAAAAGACTACACCTTAGCAAGTAGTTTACTTGGAGTAGGAGTTGATTATGCTCATATTTCTAATGCCTCCTATACAAGGGTGCTATTTCTATTGAGCAAAGGAATGGTAAGTGCTCATTGGTTCTTGCAAAGTTGCAAAACAAGTTATGTGTTTTTATATTATGTACGAGTCAGAAGTCAGAGACAACATGGGCTAATCACAAAAACATCAGCTGTGTTTCAATTCTGATTGGTCTGGCAGCATTCATGTTTGGCATAAAATAATTGAAAATTAAATGAATGAAATGGAAATTTATTTATTACCAAGTTAAAAACAGTCCATTTTACATTTCCATGGTGGTACACTATTCATTTTTACAATTTTACATATAAAATACAATGAATTTCAGTTCAAGTTCTTAGTCCAAATAAATATAATTATGTTTGAAAATGAGATTTGGCATTCAAGCCTATTCTTAGAGGAAATAAGAAAAAATTGACTTTTATATTGAATTACAAAGGAATGATGAACAGTATAATAGGTGAATGATAAATAGTGAGATGACAGATGACCCAAGTGGTATGGAACTTGTGTTTTCAATACCTTAGCATACAGAATATGCCATTTGTTGATTATATGTTATATTATTCAAGACTATCCATTGTCCATTGGTGAATCTTTTTCTTACATTTCTATATGGTTTATTTGATTTCTACTGGTAACAGATTGAATAGTTTGGACCAATATAGGAGATATGTTTAGCTTTACTCATCAGAACAACAACAATATAGGTACTAAAGATATGTATAAACAATAAAAGGATTATATACTTTATCTGATTCATATCAAGTTCAATTTTTTATATACCTGTGTTATAACAGTTTTTGTCTTATGTTTAACTTTTTTTATTTCTTTTCCTCGGCGAGAAACTATGTATATTGTCTCCCCTGATTGCTAGCCTCGGCTAAGGCCTCGGCTATCAATTTGTAGACTCGACTACAATAGACAGTGTTTCATCCTTGGTACATAAATAACTATTCATGCTTCATGAACGTGAAATAGTCTATGGAAAATACCACTCTGTTCTGAATATCTTCTTATAATTCTGTCTTTCATTGTTAAATCAATTGTGTTGCCGTGCCGAGTGGTTACCATCGAGATTCTATCGACAAATGCAAATGCAATTAAAAAAATATGTCTGTTCTACCGCCCTCAAAGGCACACAATCCAACATTTGAATCGCTGTTGCTCGAAAACTACTCATAGGATTGAGTTGGGCCCATGAGAGCCTTTGATCAGGATATCACAGCCGATTTGACCGGGACCCAAAAACCCATAAGAGCGGTGCGGGGTCCTTCGGAAGCTATGTTGATGCAAAGTTGTAGCAATTACTGAAACGGACGTTCAGCAATATTGCATATGTAAATTCGTGAATGTAACGTTCCAGCAATGTCACAGTAACATGATATAGTGCTGCAATGCTACATTATCAAACTTCATCATTGCAATATTGTGAACGTCCCTTTCAGTTATTGCTTAAACATTGCATCAACATATCTTTCAACTTTACTTAGTGCGCCTCGGAAGACATTTCGATGTCAGATCACCGGATGATCAGGATAAGCATTCACGCCGAGGTAAAGGAGGCTCCACTACGCCGAAATCCTAGAGCGACCAATTGGGAGACCTTCCTAGAAGTTCTCTCGAGGAACGCAGGGGAATATGTGGAGATCCGCTCAAAGGAACAACTTGATCAGGAGTTAGACACACTTGGCAATATATTGACCAAGGCGTTTGAAGAAGCATGTCCCTTGAGAGCGGCACCAACTCGCCGCGTACGGTCGTGGTACCAAGCTTTAAAGGAAGTGAGGAAAGCGACTAGGAAAGCGACTAAGACAGGAGATGAAGGGGCGTGGGAGGACTATAAATCCGCGAGAAGGGAGTTTGAAAATTAGTTGAGAAAAAGTAAGAGAAACAGCTGGAGAACCTATTGGGGTGAAATTAACTCCCTAACGGAATCAGCCAGACTCATTAGTATTCTGAGCAACATCCTCCGAAGATTCCCGGGAGGAGTCGGTGGTGGCCGGCCGGCTCCGCAAGTACAGCTGGTCTCTCAGGCGGACTGGCAGCTGGCGGAGAGGGTCGTTACTCAAGGCGCCATAGCCTGGGCAGTGAATGAGTTCCAACCATTTAAGGCAGCATGGCCTGACGGAATTTTTCCGGCAATGCTTCAGAGGGGCCTGGGACTAATCACCCCGGTATTGGGAGGGATTTTCCGGGCTAGTCTGGCGCTGGGATATGTTCCGACAGCCTGGAAATCAGCAAGAGTAGTCTTTATCCCAAAAAATGGGAAAAAAGGACTACAGAAGTCTTTCAGACCCATTAGTCTAACATCCTTCCTGCTCAAAGCGCTGGAGAGGGTGGTGGACAGGTTCGTGCTAGAGGGGCCCCTGATGGCAAGCCCCTTCCACAGGAACATGCATACAGAGAGGGGAGGTCGACTGAAACGGCCCTCCATGCTGTAGTGCGAAGGATCGAAAGGACATTAGAATTCAAAGAGGTAACGCTGGGGTTGTTCTTCGACATAGAGGGGGTCTTCGACAAGGCAAGGACAGACACGACACTATACAGGCAGCTCTACAGGCCAGAGGAACTCCTCTTGCAATGGTCAGCTAGGTAGTGTCGTCACTGACTAGTAGAAAGGTAGACGTAGTTCAGGGAGACCATAGACTGAGTACGGTGGTTGGTGGGTGCTGTCCCCAGAAAAGTTGCCTTTCTCCCCACCTATGGTGCTTGGTCATGGATGAACTCTTGTGCAGGCTTACTCAAGGAGGTTTTGAGGCGCAGGCATACGCAGACGATGGATTGGTCCTGGTGAGCGGACAATTCCTAGGGGTTTTCTGTGAGCGTATGCAGGTAGCCTGCAGGATAATCGAAAGATGGTGTGATAAAGTGGTGCTCTCTGTCATTCCGACAAAAACAGAGATGATCCTATACACCAACTGAAGGAAAAAGGACGGGTTTAAACCACCTACTATGTTTGGCCAAGAGTTGGAGTTAGTCCAACAGGTCAAATACCTAGGTGTCGTTTTGGACCCATGGAGGCTACACGTAGATAGGATCGTGCAAAAGTCGGTGGCAATTCTTTGGCAACTAAGGAGGGACGTTGGGAGAACTTGGGGTATTAACCCCGAGATTATGCGCTGACTATACACAGCGGTCGTAAGACCAAAGATTCAGTATGGATCATCTGTGTGGTGGCTAGGTGCAGAAACCAGCACAATTAGTCGAATGCTTAGTAAAGTTCAGAGGATGGCCTGCCTGGCGATTACAGGAGCAATGAGGACGACGCCAACTGCAACGCTGGAGGTACTGCTGGAGCTGCCGCCGCTTCCAATATGGATTAAGAGTGAAGCAATGGCGGCCTATCTGAGGATGCGGGACTCTGGGAGTTGAGCTAACGGAGGAGCAGTGACAGGTCACGCGGAAATTGCGACATGGGTGGAGCAGGAGATCCCTATCTCCACCCTAAGAGGAAAGAACGCTCAAAATAGGCTGAGATGAAATAGAGGGTTCATCCTCACTATTCCAAGCAGGGAACAATGGGAAAAGAACAGAGTGGAATTCCGCCCAGGGAGTCTAGTATGTTATACGGACGGATCGCGCCTAACTGACAAACAGGACTCAGGTGCAGGAATTTACTTAGAGAGAATAGGCAAAAGGGAGAGCTTCACTCTTGGAAAGTATACCACAGTTTTCCAGGGTGAGGTCTTTGCCATTCTTTCAGTAGCGGAGAGGCAAGAGGTGAAAGAGAAACTAGAGCAGAAGATTTACATCTGCTCGGATAGTCAGGCGGCTATCAGGGCTGTCTGCCATCCTAAATCAAGCTCAGCTTTGGTGCAGGAATGTGGCGATGCTCTTGAGAAACTAGCTGATCTGATAATAAAATAATGTACGATATATCGTTGTTATTTTTGTTATTTTTGGTAACTTTTTCTATCACATAAACTAACCAAGTTATTTCAAAATATTCAAAAAGTTCCAATCAACCATAATTTTTGTTCCAGCTCCTACTTATTGACAAAAAACTGCAGGAGGTTCAGCCTGTTTTGAATCAAGCTGGACACTTGATTGAGACTTGGACTGGTGCTGTCTATCAGAAAGAGTACCTTAAAGTTTATTTTTTAGTCTTGCAGGTAAAATAAAAAAGATTCAATCTGTTTCATAGTCCCTGAATTTTTCATTTGAAATTTCAGGTGTGCCATTATTTGATGGCCGGTCAAGTGAAGAGTGTTAAACCATGTTTGAAACAACTGCAGCAAAGTATTCAAACAATAATGGCAACTGATGATGGTTTGTATATTCAGAACAAAACAATAAATTATGGTTTTCAAGGGAATTGAAGTCAACATATTTGTTTGTTCATCAGACCGCGCTACTCTGACGTGATGCCATTCAAAACACTTACTTCCTGCCAAGCAAATTTTAGGGAATTTTGACATAGACATATGGCGCCGTCGCGATCACTAACTATTCTGGCCATCTAATTGTGAACATTTTTTGAACTCGTTTCGTTCCAAAAGGTTGCGCATGTTCTCAGAATTTGTGCTGCAAGCAGACACTACATACTTACAATTTTTTTATAAATTATACCTAGTAAAATAATGCCCATTTCCAGTCAGAAGAACTGGATACCATCTCCTGATTTTTAAATTGAGTACATGATTAATTTTTTATGAAGAGCTCTCCATTAGGAATTTGGCAATACCACATCCAATAGGTCAAACTCCTAGAAATCTACAGTTTCGCAATAAGAACAATGCCCAATATTCAAAATGAAAATGGAAGAACCGCATATTCTTTGATCATCCTGGACTGACAAAAGACTGAAACAAAACCTATCAATTTTGCTTCGTTTCACCCAACTGGGCATTTTCATTTGCAATATCTAACTGGAAGAGTTGAAATTTCAATATTTGTAGTGATTTTGCCAGAAAATTATTTTTTAAAGTTCCTTCGAAGAGACTCCCAGTAGTCCCAGTATACCTTATAATATAATAATAATAATAATAAGTTTGATGAACGGGAAATGAAGATATTGTAATTAGATTTCTTGGGCCAAATTGAGCACATTGAACACAACAACAACTACATAGGCAATGGCAGTTTTCATCATACCAGCGAACCTACTTTGAATTATTTCTTACCATTTACCTGCTAAACTCTGGTGATTGTTTTAAAGGACAAAAGGTATCAATAATTCTAAAAGGATAAAAAAGTTCAAATCAAACAAATCATACTGTAAAAAAGGCACAGATTTTCAACATCAATGGGACGAAGGTTCACAGTTTTGGAATATTCCTAGTATCCTGACGGAGACTCTTCGTCATTGTGGGTACATAAATAAAAATCGAAATCGGGAAGTCTCAAAAAATTAGAATCACAACGCCAAATGTAGCAACTTTGAACAAGGTAAGTTTTATACCATCAATCTATTTTCAGTCCAGGAATATGCAACTCTTCTATTTCCCCTTCAAACTGGAGCAATATCTTTCTCTCTTGTTTACCTTTGATAAGTAAACATCATAATTGCAAAAACGTCTATAGCGGCATCGATACATAAGGGTTCTCATAGCCAATATCACTGTATATCTCCTTCTGATGGATTTTCGACGAAAATTCTTATATGACCTCTGAAAGAGCAACTCAAATAATACAAATTCAGACGAATTAATATACAGTTGAATTGTGTCTTGTGAACCCTCAACCGACGAGATGTGTAGATTTTTGCAATTTTTTTCAGTAAAAGGCTTCCAAAAAAAATTATTTTAAATTCAAACATACTTTCCAAAATATCTCGAAAACATTCAAGTACTTGAGTATACTTGAAAAGCTTATTTATGGCCCTGATGCACTTCGATGCAGTGTAGCACCTGAACGAATTCTACTTGCTGGTGTGTAAACTAGTATGTCCTTGATATTTCTCAAAGATCTATCTCATCTAATTTATTCAGAAAAATGAATCTATAAACAATATTTTTTTATTTGAAAGAAGTTTTGTTATTAGGATACTCAATTGAGAGCCATACCTATACACATGACGTTGAAAATTGTAACTTGTTAATAATAATTTTGATGCTTTTTCAGTTTTCATGGGACCAAGTCCTGGTGATATGTTCTTGTGGATGCCTAAAGAACACCTGTATGTACTGGTATATTTAGTTACTGTGATGCACAGTATGCAAGCTGGCTACATGGAGAAGGCTCAAAAATATACTGACAAAGCCCTAATGCAAATAGAGAAGTTGAAAAGTATGTAAATGTACACATTATTATTATTATTATTACTATTTCACTAATGTGGAGTACAAAATATTGGAACATTGTGTGTCTCAAACGTTCGTCATTTCTGATAGTGAATTTTGCAAGATACCTAATACCAATAACTTAATCAATATGAAATTCTGGAATGAGAATATTGTCCAATCAAATGAACTATGCCATGAAGGTAGATTATCGATATTTGCAATCTTGAAATATGAAGATTCACTTATTATGTTATTAATATAACAGGCTACTGAACTGGTATTGAGATTGTCACATTCGACAATTACATTGTGTTGTTACAAGTCTCAACAAACTGTTCATACCATTCAAATTTGATTTATTGCCAAGCGAGTGGACTAATTTATTATTATTTCTTAAATAGAATCATCACTCAAATACCTTTTGATTTCATATTTTTTTAGAATTTCTCGGTCGATTTTAAGGTGTCAAAATCATCAAAAATGTCACGGTTATTCTCAAACTGCTAGAAAACCGCGAGTAAAAACTAACGTCACAATTTAGTTGGTAGGGGCACACCATAGCACAGTTTCCATTATGTTGAAATACGATTGGGAACTTCAGAAATATTATTTATTCAATAATCAATAAATTCTCAATTATGTATTGGTAATATTCCTAATTAGCATTAATGAATCTATTGTCTCAAAATGTTCCCCCATGTTTTGTGGCTTATTGTTATGAAACATTTGTGTAAATAATAATGATATTAGTTCACACTTAAGGACATTTGAACCGGTAAACACTCGGGTAAACGACAACGGCGGCACACGAGTTGAGGGCGTGGTCTTGTAAGGACATTTGAACCGGTAAACACTCGGGTAAACGACAACGGCGGCACACGAGTTGAGGGCGTGATCTTGTCAGTTCTCAGCATAATGTTGCCAAGTCTCCAACATTGACACGATATTTTGTTACGGAGTATAAGAAATATTTGGACATGCTGGTTGCTCGAAAAGGTCAAGAATAAACCATAATATCGTAGGTTCCTCCTATAGAGCATTGTCAGTGACGTCATATGACGTAAAATTGTCGGCCATTGAACACCTGATAGGGTACATGTAACTTTCTTGCCTTTACCACTAAAATACAATACCTGGAGCATTTATTCATTGACATGTTTGTTAATTCATTCATCATGAATCTTGTGTGAGAGAAGTGAATGAGTCCAAAGAAGAGTTCAAATTGGTTTATTTGTCAATTTTAAATTACTGGATTTACTTGAGTTCAGCTCTAATATACCTAATGTACCTCGTAATATACCTCAATTTGGAAGAAAATGTACACATTCTTCTTGTATAATATCTACAAGTTCAACAAAATCACCAATGGGTCAGAAATAATAAAATCAAAATTCACACACAGCTTTGTTTGTCCCCCGATCAGCTGATGAAAACGACGAGTGCGCCATGTTGTGACGTCAGCAGACATTGCTCTATTTTGTTTTATTCAACGACAGGACTAACAACTAACAACTTTTTGATACCATGATTATAATTGGTGACTCGGCAACCTTGCTTCATGGGTTGGAATGAAAGATTATCTGACCAATAACGGAACAGCATAAACAATGACGTCACCATTTATTCGACGTATCGCCAAATGGCGGCCATAACGGTACGTTTGAAATGATCTCTGAATTTCAACAATTTCGAGCAACGCATAGACTCATTATCTACATAAAAAAGCGTGAGACGTGTTGCAAAAATTAAGTTAGGTCCTTTAACGATACAGTGGAGTAATTGAATGTCAATAATCCATTATTGGTCCACCTCGCCCATTATGAACCTATGCGCTGTTCAGATTCGTTGAAAATTACAACCTGATACGAACACTACGTGCCAGCTCGACATCCGATATCGATCTTGATGACGTCAGTTGTTGATAGTGTTGCGCCAACCTTGACAAAACTCGGACACACTTGGCCAACACGTTGCCAAGTGGCAAATTGTTAAGCTTCTTGGAAATTGTCGTTCGCGAGTATTATCATTCAAAATATCCCGAGTAGTTATCACTAGTCGACAATTCACTTTGAAAGAATAGCATAATATTCATCATTCCATTTTATGAGTACCTAAAAATGTGCCAGAATTGGCGAGACCTATCCACGTGCTATGTGCTAAACATTCTCGAAATATCGGTTGGTAACACATTGAATCTACTTTAGAGTGGATACATTTACATAAATAAAAAAATTATTCAGTTGAGAATAAAGCAACTAGGAATCTATTCAAACATTAGGAGAGTAATGAATTATAATTTATAAATATTCATAAAAAGACAATTTATGTTATTTCCTGATGTAGTTGTTGTTGTATAAGGAATGTAATAAATGAGAAAAAACTTTGATATACCAGCTAGTTTAGGGTTCTTTGATTATGGAAAAGTTAGAGGAGTGTGAAAATATTATCCTTTCAAATTAACAATATAATTAAAAATATAACTATTTAGATACAAGTCTAAGCCTCATTCTGAAAACTCTAATTCTGAATACCTAGGAACTCTATAGTATATGGCCTGTCTTTTGATCCCTCACTATACAGTCTACCACCATAGCTGAATAATAGTGCGGTACGGTATCAATTGAGGTAGATCCTACCTTGAGTGATTATATTCAACTATTTGTGCTCAATACCAGCTAGAACCTTATGAATTTATCCGCTGCCAATGTTTGTGCAATCTGCTTCTTTGCTATAATGTTCCAGCAGCTTCTAGCTTCTAGTGCCTTGGAAATATACGGTGGCCTTTATTTCATGAAGCCATTCACCCATTCTGAGAATCTCGTTTGATTCCATCCATGAGATATTTCCCCTTGGCATCTTGTCAAAAATCCCAATTTTTTTTCTTGCTTTCCATGATAACCACCAATTGTTGAACTTTCCCAAGAAAACAGGACATATCTAAAGAAATAACAACTAATATTGTAAAATGGTTTAACATTTCTCAGTGATATGTTTGACGTTACATGGTACTCCTGTCAGATCGATAATTTTAGTGTTGACATTTTTACATTTCTCTAACTTTATTTTAAAACGCACGTTTTTGAAAGTTGGATTCAAACAGGCTGTGGCGTTCTATAAATAAGCATAGTAGGTTACCAATGAATAAAAAAATCTTTGGAACTTTGTAAGGAACTATCAAATAAACAATCAAAAATGTTTCTTTTGCCTAGGTACTTACTTTGACATCTGGCAACAATTATGTGCAACACTCACTAATTCATGACTTCATTCGTGACTCTCAGACCTTTGAGCTGGAGTTTTGCTTTCAAGATAACATAAACCTCGAAAAAAATTTTCAAGAAAGATATATGCAATAATTGATATATCCGATGCATCATTCTTGATATTCTTGTGAATATTTTATGGTGGTATTTGAGAATAATTTCATTTATCCCAATGAAATGATTCATTCTTATATTCTTTCACTGGAGAAAATAGCTGTGACAAGATTGCAACGTTTTGAATTGACTCGGCCGTTACTTGATGGAAATCCATGATAAATGTAAAAACTTCACAAACGATAAGATTTTCACAAAATTTATTAAACACACGACATGTTTCGCTAACACAGTAGCTTCGTCAGGTGATATACTGGTACAATGAACTAAACTAACGTTGGCTTGCTTAACTTTTATATATCTTACCTTCCCAACCTGAAGGATTAGTTACCTGTGGACAGGTACGATAAACCTCCATTTTCGGAAATTAGGCACAATATCTACATTAAATTACGGTATACCGGATTAACTTGAAAGAGTTTATATCCAATACATATTATTACTTACTAAGAAAACAAATTCAACAGTGGTGAACTATTAAGGTCTAATTGATCATCAAGTAAAATGTCAAACTTTTTGAGTTTGTTGATTTCTAATGATACAAAATGATTGAGTTTCAGTCCTTTATTTTCTACGTGCAGAATTTCGAAATTATCATCAAAACTATGGTTTTCTTTTAATATATGGTTGGCGCATGTTGAATTTGATTTCTTTTTCATAAAATTCATCTTATGTTCATGAATGCGCTGATTAAACGTACGACCCGTCTGACCGATATATACCTTAGGACAAGATCCACATTTGAGTTTGTATACCCCTGATTTTTCGAATTTAGAAGTTTTTTCTTTATTATTCTTGATAAACCGTCCCAACGTGTTATTTGTTCTATATGCCACTTTTAAGTCCTGTTTATGTAGAAATTAAGCTAATTTCTCATTTGATGATCCGAAATAGGTTAAAGTTCTATAATTTTGATTATTATTCTTGATGGTAGGATAAACTTCTTGAATAACTTTATGATGAAGTTTATTAGAAAGAATACTGTCTATCAAATTAACGTTGTATCCGTTGTTGACAGCAATCTGTTTTATGATATTGAGTTCTTTATTGAAATTTACTTCCGAAAGAGGGACATTCACTAGCCTGTGTATCATACTATTATATGCTGCAATTAGTAGTTTCATTTGTCACAGCTCCTTCAGTTAAACTATCAGAAAAATTAATAACGTTGATAAAAAACTATTGTAATTTTCAATCAAAGTTCAGCTTGAGAAATTCCTATGATTTGATAACTAAAATTCAAAATTATACTCTACCTGACAACACAAAATTCATTTCATTTGATGTACAAAACCTTTTTCCAAGTATACCTCCCGAAGATACCATACTTTTAGTTGAGATTATTAGATAAAAACTATGTTAATCCGATTATCGAACAAGAGATCTTAGACCTTCTGTCGATATGTCTCAAACAAAATTACTTTCAGTTTGACAACAAAATATATTCCGCGTCAAAAAGGTTGATTATGGGAAATCCACTGAGCCCTTTACTTGCTGAAATCTTCATGGACAACTTGGAGCGAATAATACATAAACATTCATTAATAAAACAATGTTTGTATTGGTATAGATACGTAGATGACGTTATAGTATGCTTTAAAGGAACCAATAGACAATTAGACACTTT